TCTTTTGACTGGAGCATTTAATCCATTTACATTTAAGCCTATTATTGACAGGTATCTTTATTGCCATTTTCTCTGTAATGCCTATGTTTTTCTCCTTATTTCTTCTTAAAGCTGTCCCTTTACCATTTCTTGCAATACTGGTTTGGTGGTAATGAACTCTTTCCCCTTTCCCTCCTGTCTCTCAAGGTCTTCATTCCACCTTCAATTAAATGATAGCTTTTCTGGATAAAGTAGTCTTGGTTGCAGGTCCTTGAATTCATCACTGAATACTTAACGCCAATTCTTTGGGCTATGGGTTTCTGTTCAGAAATCAATGGACGGGCTGATGGCATTGTTCCCGTAGGTAAGTAACTCTCCGTTGCTGCCCTTGCAATTCTCTGTGTCATAAACTTTGCCATAGTAATTATCCTGTGTCTTGATGGGGGTCTTCTTGCATTTATCTTGAATGGGGCGTTGTACATCCTGAAACTGTGTAATATTTTTCATCACCCAGCTAGGGATATTTTGTACCATTATTTCTTCACACAGGCTCCTTATCCCTGGCTCCCTCTCTTCACTTTATGGTAACCTTATGTTATGTAAGTTGTTCTGCTTGATATTGTCCCAGAAGATTCGTCGACTTTATTTATTTTAACTTTCCTTTTGATGCTCTGCTTGGGTGCTTACTGTTTGTTCTCTCTTCCTCTAATTCACTGATTTGATCCTCTGCTTCATATAACCTGTTGTTGATTCCCTCTAGTGTATTGTTCAGTTCTGACTGGTTCTTTGTTATGGTTCCCCGTTACATTTAAAGCTCACTATCTCTTTCTCTAAGTTCTCAGTGACATCATCCATCCTTTTCCTAAGGTCCTTGAACAAAGCTCTAACTATTGTTTGAAACTCTTCATCAGGTATTTGGGTTGCTTTCATTTCATTCATTTTATTTAATTCTTTTTCTTGGGAGTTCTCTTGTTCTTTCATTTCAGGTATTTTCCTTGCCTCCCCATGTTGTCTCTGTTTCTTACTGAGATCTGCTACGACCCCTAAACCTACTAAGATGGCTTTTTGATAAAGTGTCTTGTGGGATTCAGTGGCACAGTCTTCCAGGTCCCTCGATCTCTGTGCTCCTGGAATGTGTCTCGTGCGTTAGGGGCATCTCCTATTGTATTTGAGGCTTCAGTGATGTTGGCCTTTTGTGGGTCGAGTTAATCCTTCGGGCTATGTTACTCTAAGGGGAAAGCTCGATCAACCTGTGTGAGATGCTGTGCAGGGGCTGCCCCCCAAGGCAGAGTTGTCCCCCGTAGAGTCTGAGGCGTGCCAGAGTATCCTTTCGGTGTGCCAGTTTTGAGACTAGTTGGGTTGAGCTCCGGTGTGATACGAAGTTCTAAACTGGTGGTGTTGGTTCTGGGTTTACTAGGGTGGGGTTCCGGTACAGGTCACGGTCAGGTGTTGTGTGTAACAGGCCTTGGGCTACCTGTCTGTAGGTACCACACTGTTGTCCCGTGTCTGCATCTCCTGGGCCAGGGTGTGCATCGGGTGGGCCAGTCTGTGTAAGAGAGTCGGCTTCCTCCAGCTTAGAGCTTGGGTCAGATCTGTAAAAGCACTGAGCCTCCTGAGGTCCGCATGTAATTGTTAGCTCCTTCCCCTCCCCTTCAGCTTGCCTGGTCCTCCTCCAGAGCCTTCCAAAGACAGACTGCAAGATGAGCCCAGGCCAGGGCATCTCCATAGCCACTTGCAGAGGTGGAAAGCACGGTATGGCAGTGCCACTGGAGTCGAGGGGACAGGGCGGGCAGGGCTGTCCAAACTTTAGGTGTCTCTGGGCAACTCTGGAAGAAGAGTTGTGTTGGGCCACACACTGAATACACAAACACTAGTGAAAACTGATGAGCAAAGAAATGGTGTTAAGTAAATGTACGATTTTGTGTTGGGCCGCATCCATAGCCACGCTGGGATGAGTCCAGCCCATGAGCTGCGGGTTGGACACCCTTGGGAGAGGGTCTCCCACCTAGGGCTCATGCGGTTGGGCACTCAGTGAGGGGAAAGCGTCCCCTGTTTCAAAGCCAAGCCCCTCAGTCTCTGCCAAGTGTCCACCTCTCATTTCCCAAGGGGGTTCATTGCAGTTTCACTTTGGGAGCAGCCAGCTGTACCCTCTAGGGGAATGCTCAGTCACCCTGGGCTCAGGGGGATAGATCAGGAGGGTCCCCCATGGGGATGATACCAGGCTAACCCTTAGGAGAAGGCTCAGTGCTTTGTCCTGATCCAAAGCAGTACCCGCTGAGGGTCTCATCCTTTGAATGGTCCTGCACTGAACAACTCTACCTTCCCCCCATGGAACTTCCCCTGGCAGGCTTGTCCACGACTGGGCAGGGCCGATTCAGGTGGTCTCTCCTTATGGGTATTGTCTACAGTCCTTTAGAACAGGGGAGGCACTTCTTCCCCTTCTCAGGGTGGCACTGGCTGAACTAGCAGTGGAGACTGCATTTGCCTCCTAACAATGTAGCCAGGCAGCCATGCAGCACTTGCCCGTCTCGCTCCCAGACAGAAGACACTGAGAGAAGAGACACACTGTGAAAATCCCAGCTCCACCCAGCTCCCCAGTCCCCCGTGTTTCTGCACTAAACAGGATGGGGCTGAAAGTTCCGGCCCGGTGTGGCACTCCAACGGCTGCACACTGCCGGACAGGGCAGACAGTCCCAGCTCTGTGCAGCCTCCCTGTGCCGCCGCACCCAGCTGGACGGGGCCGAATGTCCGAGCTCTGCATGGCTCCCCCCTGTGACGCGGAACCCCGCTGCGTGGGCCCCTGTGCCGCTACACTGGCACACGTGGCCAGCTGAATGACTCAGCACGTGAGGGCAGGGCCACTGGCTGTGTGCTCCAGGCGGGGTGGACTGCCCTTCTTTCCCGAGCCAACACAGTGTGGCCCTTGTCTGGGTCTCCTCCAAAGGCATCGCCACTAAAAAGTCGCCCTTAAAGTCACTTCTGGGTGTAGGCAGCAGACGCCTCCACAGGACCCAAGGTGGCGACGTGGCCTGCCCGCTGTCAGAGGCGGGGCTGTGCACTCCCCAGGCTGGGGCTGAGGCAGTAGGAGGGGTCTTCCCTGGGAGGGTGCGGTCCGAGCCTTTCAGGGGACTGAATCCCCGCTGAGTGTGACCACCAGGTGCCTCGTGGGCTCCTGCTCCTGTCTCCCTTGCTCTGGGTTGGGGTTCCCTGCACCGGGTTGACCCCCGCCCCCCACACACACACACACTTGCAGCGGAGTGAGTTTCGCAGCCAGGTTATCTCTCTGGCTTCTCGGCCGCCGCCGAGTCTGAGTGCACGGGCTACTGTTTTCCGAGTCACAGCCCTTCTCTGCACTCTCTCTGGGGCCTCTTCTGTCGTCCTTGGTGATACTATTTCAGATCAGCTGGCCTTCAGTTGGCCGTTCAGGTTGATGGCTCGTAATTCAGCTGTCTATTTAGATGGCGCCAGGAGCAGCTGGGTACAGCTTCCACCTGCTCTGTAGCCGCCCTGAAACCTACTCCTGTTTATACTTTTTATAAGGTTCAGTGGCACACTGCTTCTGTAAAACTAGTTGAAAATTGAGAATGTTTGCACATGAATGAAAAGCACAGTTGCCATACTGAAAGAACATGTGTGATAAACACATCGAATATTGCGTAAAATAGTTCAGAAAGAAAACAATAGTCAAGTTCTCTCAGAATTCAGTGAAAAAGAATAAAGAAGAAGTCCAAAGAGAAGCTATGTGCAAGACAGACAGTATGAGGATTAAAAATACAGATAACAAAAACTTAAAAAGGAAAATGATAAGCCATGCCTACCCATCACTAGGAAAACATCTGTATTTCAGGGTTGAAGATTTGATTGCGATGCAAACATTCATTGCAAAATACAGATGATGTATTATAGAATTGTACCCTTGAAACCTACAGATCTTTTTAACCAATGCCTCCCCAATAAATTTATTTAAGAAAGAGAAGAATAAAAAGAAAGAAAGAAATTTTAATCGCTTCAATAATTCCAAAGGGAAATTAATAAACTCTACAACGTGCAAAAGAAACTGCTGAGAAACAGATGAGAAAAATAAAGGAGGTCTAGAAATCATTTTTTGTTGAAATAAATGATGAAGTACAAAAATAATATCCGTGATGTAGAAAATTTGGAACAACAAAAAAAAGACACAAAACTTTTAGGAAGCATGGTCAAATGTTTTCAGCAAAGTTAAGACACTAAATGGAATGAGAGAGCTAATTGTTCAAAAGTGAAACTTCGCAATCTCGTGATAACTTGGTACCAATCTCTAAGGTTGCAAAACGTATGCAAAAAACTTGAAAATGGGAGAGACCAAGACAATCCATGCTAGACATATTAACAGGGAATGGGCAAAGTATGCTTCTTTTGATGACACTGAAATTGAGCAAACAGGTTTCAATATTCATGTGTTGTGTATATATCCCAGATGCACACATGAAATGAAATTTCTAATGGAATAAAAATTGGATATATAACTTTAACCCATGCCATTTAATTCAGCACACCTGAATAATTTCATCTTCTTGTCAAAAGACGAAGGCTTTTCAAAAGGATCAAAAGCATCCCATATGATGGCCTTTACAAGAACCATGCCTAAGTTACGATGACACAACAGTGTTCGTTATATGTGCGTATCAGGAAAATGCAAACACTTGAAAATGGCAGTAATAATATGAGAAAATATACAGAATTTAAGAAGTCAATCATCAAACGGGTCTGCAGAGGGATTGTTTTATTTTGGTACCCGGTATAATCCACAAGGACGCCCAAAGTGAAGACACAGAGCATTGCCATGGGAAATAATGATGAAATAGCCCTTGCAGTCGTTAGAGGATAGGGAAAGAGCAAGAAGAAAACCCCGGTAAAACAAGTGCAGCTGAGGCTTGTCCTTAGACGTCCCGTAGATTGCACTCTGTCCAGTCTGCCTCGTATGCGTGCTGTGAGGGAGTTGATGGGAGGTGGGTGGAATAAGTGTCACTTTTTGCCTTTAGGTTTCATCTCATTGGTCAGCCGTCGGCCAGATGCATCATCTCAGGTAACACTGTCACTTGGGAGACGGAGCCACCACTCTGTGAAAGTGAGTTAAGATGTCTTCCTATCTATCCCACCGGTTAATGCCAGCATTGCACCCCTAGAATCACCAAGAACCCGTCTCATCCCTCTTGGTAGTGATACTCTTCCAACATTTGAAAGAGAATAGCTGCATGCTGAAAAGTGCTCACAACGTTCCAAGCTTCTCGTTCCTTCTGGTTTTTCCTTATCGTGGTGTATAATTTATTTAAGACAGCCCCTACTTCCTCTTTTTGGGTTGAACATTTCCCAACTTGCAGAGCATTCTCTTCAGCAAAGTAAGCAAATACAAAGCTCGTGAAAGTAGCCCAGCTTCCCCTCTGCCATCTCGCAGCATCAGGTCACAGGGTGAAGCGGTGGCTCTCTCCCTTCCTCCTTGCGCTTTGAGCCCTGGCATGGCATGCGGTCGTCCTGTGAGTGGTTTGGAATAGGAGCTTCCTACCCTTTGGGTGGTAAGAGGAGTGAGCATTCACAAATTAGCACAGAATATAAAGAGGCTACATTCCCCGGGCTTTGGTGATAACGTGAAGAAATCAGCACACTCAAACCCAAATACTGGTGGGATAAATGGGGACAGCCTTGCGAGAAAGCCAGTACACGACAGGTATTGACCCTTCATTGTATTCATGCTTTCCATTAAGCAGTTTGACATTTTATGATTTATTCTTTAAAAACTAATTACCATGATTTTTGCAAGGACATTCCTACACAAATGTTTACCTCCATTATTGTTTGTGATAGTGGAAAGGTCAGAGCAATGTAAATGCTGATCATATTTCAATGTTTCAGAAATAAGGACTTCCAACAGGCGTGAGACGAACTTTGGGAAATTGGGAAGAAAGCACCAGTTCTGATTATATTTAGTTTTATTTTGTGCTTTAAAAATTTCTGCTTGTCTGTCTGTTTGTTTGTTTTTTAGTATTGCTTCATTTTAGAAAATACAAGATATTTATTGAGGCCTTCACCATTCACTTCCAAAATTCAGTCTCCCTCAGAGACTGTTTGCATTATAAACTTTTAAATTTCTTTGTGATAAGATTTTGAATCCTGGTATTATCCCATAATTTAAGTATTCCTATTGACGATTAACTATTTTAGTCACTTTTGATCAAAACAGAAAACAAAACTAAGGACATAAATCCTAAAAAAAATTATAATTACAAGAAAAAGTCCTAAAGCCAATGAAATCTAAAACTCTTTATTTCTATAGGAATCTCTTGCCTAGAGGTCTGTCTAGATCCAAAGAGAGAGAGAGAAAGAAAAAAAGAATCCGTATAGCAAGTGATGTCTAGCCTACGTATTTGATCACTATTATCACCCAAATTACACGGGGAGCCAATAAACTACATATCTGAAATTTCCACTGTTTTCTGAAGTGAAGGGACAAAAGAAAGTAAGCAAATAGAGGAGAGAAATGGAAATGAGGCAACTTTAAAATAAATTGCCCACACATTTCCTTAGATGTGTTTTCTTACGCTTCGGCTGTCCCACCTACTTAAGAAGCACGGTAGCTATCAGTTTAGGAGCCTGCTGTATAGATATTCTTTATATATGATTTATTTCTCTGTTTTCAAAGCACAGCACACATTGGTACGTTGTATATGCATATTATTTACAACTAAATAAACATACACACATTGGGAAAAATTGAAAGGATAAGACATGTGTTCTGCAAGAAAAAAAAAGTTTAAAATACACCAGAATGCATTACCCCAGAGACACAGGTCTTTGAAATGAAATTAGGAAGTACCTTCTTACACTGAACTATTATTACGAGAACAAAGATAGTGTAGAAAACACGTGGGGTGTTGTGTGTGTGTGTGTGTGTGTGTGTGTGTGTGTGTGTGTGTGTTTTAAAGATTACACGTTAAAGAGTCAACAGTGGTTCTTTCTAGGTAACGGACTTAAAGATAATTTTCAGTAATATTTTGTAAATTGTCTACAAGAAATGTCTATCTTCTTAAGCATTGTTTCAAAATAAAAATAAATGAATAAATAAATATGGTTCCACGTTACCGTATACCTTTGAAAAATGATGGAAATATGTCGTATGCTTTGGAACACTTTAAAATGCCTAGAAATAATTGATACTTAGATTAGGTTTAATTTGTCCACAAAATATCTGTGCTTTTGTATCTTTTTAGGAGTAGAATTTTGATACATTTTCCCCACTTCTCCAGTCTCCATTGTCCTGAGTCAGTGTACTGGCAAAATATCTCTCTATCTCTAATATTCACATTTTCAGAATAATTAGCGTAGTCCAGAACACATGTTCAGCTATTTTCTTTACTTCTGAATCTGTGATTATTGTGTCATGTATAATATTTTGTATTTGTGCTCTATCTCTTTTTTATTAGTTGTCCAGAGATTGTGTTTTTATTTCTTTGATAAAGATGCCCTACTGCGTGCTACATCGTACTACTGAGCCATTGAATGAAGCCAAATGCCTTCTATACAATGAGAACTGAGTTAATTACAGTGAAATAACATAAAACATTCTCCCTTAAAATGAGACACTTAGGATATTGGACACATTTACTGAAATAATGTTCATTGAGAAGGGCAGAAGCCATCGTATTGTGATCACTGAAACTACAGTTGTGCAAAAACATGTCTGTACATTAGAAAAGATTCGACAAGAGCAGAAGTGTTGTGAATAGTCACATGTGGTAAAGTGGGTTTCTTAAAACACTGATTACCAGAATGTATAACTGTAACTTCTAAGAAATTGAGGTTTTCTGTAACTTGTCCCCTTTTAAGTTATCTATTGTAGACCACCCCCAGCCATCGCCCACGGAGATTACAATAACATCAACAGAGAGTACTTTCCCTACGGAACGGTGGTGACCTATCACTGCATTTCTGGAACGAGAAGGCCAAAGTTTGTCCTCGTGGGCGAGAAGTCAATACGCTGCACCAGCGAAGACAATCATTCCGGCACCTGGAGCGGCCCTCCGCCTCAGTGCCTCGTACCTAATACATGCTCGCCTCCAGACGTTGAAAACGGAATAAGGGAGTCCGAGAACAGAAGCTTCTTCCCCTTAAATGAAGTCGTGAGGTTCAGGTGTCAGCCTGGCTTTGTGCTGAAAGGGCCCTCCAGCGTGCGATGCCAGGCCCAGAACAGATGGGAGCCGGAGTTGCCCAGCTGCCTCCGCGGTGAGTCTGACTGAGGCTCCGAAGGGGCCCGCAGGGGACCCGAGCCGCGGGAGGAACGGGGGAGTGGTGCCTGTTCTGGCGGGAAGGTGCGTGGTGAGCAGAGTGAGTCAAGGTGCTTAGCATGGAGCGTGAAATAAAGGTGTGTCTATATATGTTCGTGCATGTGAGTGTTCAAGGTGAGAAACAAAGCTAACTATGGGCACGGAATGTGAAGTTCCCTTAGGATTCTTATAAAAAGAAGTTCTCTGCACATGTCACCTAATATACCAGTTAAGCTGAGTAAAATCATCGCTAATTCAAATTGAGTGACTTTTCTGTTGGGGCACCATAATACAGCCCGAAAACAATGCTATGTCATAGTTACCGTGCTCTGCATGAAGTACCCAGAAAAACGAGTCTCAGAGAGGTTAGGAAACTTTCCCAGATGAAGCAGATACTAAGTCATTGAGTAAAGGCTGAAATCCAAGTTGGCCTGACCGCAGAGTCATGGAAATCAAAAGCCACTCTAGATATTTCACGGAGAGGGGGATTTCATACAGATAGTAAGTAGGACACTTACTAAGGAGGATGTTGGAAAGGCAGGAAGAGCTAAAGGAGGAAGGCTGTTTGCAGAGTGCAGGAGGCTACTGTCCTGCCTGGACCAGCAGACACGTACCTGCACTCACTGCTGAAACTGTCACTGAGCATCTTCCCCTCCAGCCCTGCTGGGGCCTCCAGGGTGCAGCTGAGGTCCTGGAGCCACAGCCGTGGCTTTGCAGGAAGTGAAGTTGCCACTGCCCAGCAAGGACCGTCAACGCGGCTGCTTCCCGAGCCTCCTCCAGAAGAACGGCCCCTGTCATCTTTCTGCGTTTTAATTTGCTACATATTCCACCAGTTGACGAAGTCTAACCACAACCCAGCTGGCAAGGAAGATAGGCAATTGTAGTTTGCAGGCTTCCAGCCCCAACCGTCAAGGAGAATGCAGAGATGTGATGCTGTGAGTTCACAGAACGGTAGTCGGCACAGCACTTAGTGTCACCTCACTGTGCATTGTTAATTGAGGGAGGCACCGGTAGGAGCCCTGAACATGGGTTTTAGAGCCTCAGAGTATTTCCAAAGTCATTTACTCCAGTCCAATCCCGATTTACACCTGAGAAAGCTGAAGTCCAGAGAATGGAACTGACCTTCTCTAAACCGAAATGAAGTGCTTTTTCATTTTACTACAGTTTCATGTGATTTCTTTGCTACTCAAGTGCATTAGCACTGAGCTAAACCAGCTGCTTAATGTGACGCCAGAGCATCAGTTACAATATGCTGCCTGCAATATGCACTCTCTTCATGAGGGCTGTGCAATTTTTTTAGATTATTCATTTCAACGGTTGCCCTCTTTTCATCGCCATCAACTGAGTGACTAGGCGGCACCTGCTATGTGGAGCGTAAAGCAGTCAGAATTCTCCAAGCCATGTCAGGGGACCGCTGAAAGAGGAGTTGGAAGGCGATGAGGAAAGATGCGAGTCCTCTTTGTTGTACCAGCGTGTGGTCAGTGATTGGCCAATCTGTTAGATGAGACTTGGGCACAAGCATTCTTTATTGCCTAGAAGGTGGAGTATAAATTGGTGATGCTTTTCTAGAAAGCAGTATGAAGATAAAAAAAATCCTTCAAGGCCCGGTGAGATAGCTCAGATCATTAGAGCATCATCCCCATACATCAGGGTTGCAGGTTCAGTCCCTGGTCAAGGCACACACAAGAAGCGACCATGAGTGCACTAATGGGTGGGTGGAACAACAAATCCATCTCTTTCTCGGTCCGTCTCATTGCTTTTAATAAAATGACGGTGTTAGTCTGCCAGGTTTTTTAAAAAATACATAGACTTATACTCATGATTCTGTTGGCTAGTTGGCCACTGAGGAAAAGTGATCATCACAATTAACAGCACTTGGTTCTCTTTCCCCAGTGTGCCAGCCGCCTCCAGCAATCCTGCATGGTAAGCGCACCCTAAGCGACAAGGCCAACTTTTCCCCCGGGCAGGAAGTGTTCTACAGCTGTGAGCCCGGCTACGACCTCAGAGGGGCTGCCTCTCTGCGCTGTACGCCCCAGGGGGACTGGAGCCCCGCAGCCCCCAGATGTGCAGGTACATACGCTCTTGTCTGGTTTGATAGGTTTAGCTCGGGGCTTCTTCTCCACATACCTGTGTCATCGATCTCTGTTTTCCTTTTCCTCCAGTGAAATCATGTGCTGACTTCCGGGACCCACTCCCCAATGGCCGTGTGCTCTTTCCACTCAGTCTCGAGCTTGGGGCAAAAGTGTCCTTCGTTTGTGATGAGGGGTGAGTGTGAGCTTGCCTGGCCTTCTGGAGACTGAAACTAGGTTTGGAATTTAATTCAAAAAGGGAAGGTTTGGTGTGACCAAAGAAACAAACAAAGAAAGAAACAAACAAACTGGGAGGATTAAAGTTTGAAAGCATGTAGGAAAAGTTAACAGTAAGAAACAGGTGAAAATAATAATATGAGATCTGAAGGGGAAAATGGGACCTATATTAAATGGCATGTGTAAAGACAAATACAATGACTGGTTATGAGTATATGAGATCTGTCCCGAAAAGGCCCAACCACTCTAAATACAATGAGCACAGATCGCGCGACACGATGCTCCCAGACAGCCAAGGTGAGTGGCCGGAATGGGCATGCATGAGCAGTGACAACTTCACTGTGCTAGTCGGTGCGGGTGATCGGCGCTGCTGAGTGAGCATGCGTCCTGTGTGGCCATCTCATTCAAAATGACTGAGCAAGAAGAGTGACAAATCTGCATCAAATTTTCCATTAAGCTTGAGGATTGCTCTGCGAAAAGTATTTGGATGATGCAGAAGGCCGCAGCTATGGGCAACTGGTGATGGGCAGCTTCACCATGACAATGTGCCCGCTCGTGCGTCTTGCAGGGTTTTGACGAAACATCGCATCACCCAAGTGTCTCTGCCACCCCTACAGCCCAGATTTGGCGCCCTGCGACTTCTGGCTTTTCCCAAAGCTAAAATCACCTTTGAAAGGGAAAAGAGTTCAGACCATCAATGAGATTCAAGAGAAAATGTCAGGGCAGCTCATGGCAATCGGGGGAACTGTGTGAGGTCCCAAGGTGCCTCCTTGGAAGGGGACTGATGCATCACAGTCTCATGTACAATGTTCCTTGTACCTTGTAGCTTCTTTACTAAATGTCTCTATTTTCCATGTTACAAGGCTGGATGCCTTCTGGACAGAACTCATGTATGCCACACACTGAGTGGAAAAAACATATTTTCTAAGCAGAGAAGAATAAAAGTAATTTGAAGAGTCCCCAGAACAGTTTGATATGTAAACAGAAAGCTTATTAAAATAAGTAAGATTATTGAAGAAGTATTTCAGTCATTCCTTTAACCGTCAAAACTGAAACTTGTTACAGAGGCAAAAATGTAAGAATATGCATGTCAAGCTAATCATAAATCTTCTGGTGGGTGATGGGCCAAGAGCGCTGTATGGTGAGCATGGTGGCTGACGTGATGTTTTCCGTAAGGTCCTGAACTTGTCCCTGTGAATCCGATGCTCTTCGCAGTGTGCACATCTCCCCATGGGGAGGATCAAGTGTGAGCAGTAAAGCGCCTGCTCAGAATGTTCCCAAGAATCCTGGCCAGCTCCCAGTGCCAATTCCGACAAGGTTTAGGAACCGTCAGGGTCCCACAGAACATTTAGAATTCCGGATGATTTCAAACAAGGACACCTCCGATGTCCTTTCCTTTTCCCCTAGAGCGTTCACACCTACTCTCCCATGGACCAACATGCTGTTGTGAGCCTCCTTCCCAGCCATCACAGATGTAGAGACAGAAGAACAGTCTTCCATCTCTTTCCAGTGATCCTCTTTTTCAATCCAAAGTGGGAGCTGTTCCACTCGCTCTTTCAGTATCAGAATTCGGAGGCTGTTGCGTTAGGAGACTGAGTTTCCCGTAAGGACAATGAGTAGATTGAGGAGGTTTGTCTTAGAACAAACAGCTAGAGATTCACTTCTCAGAGTCTGGGGCCAGGATCAAGGAGATGGCGGCTATGCTATGAGTGCCTTCTTGAAGGCTGGGACTCCACGCTACGTGGCCAACTGACAGTGCTTTCCTGCTCTCCCTTCCTGGAGGCTGTGATTTGTCCAGCTTGGAGTGGCCCCCAGGCCCCTGCCACCTGCTGGGTTCAGACGCTATGATTTTCGGCAGGGCTACAGATTGCTAATGAATGGCGTTTTGGCTAAACCAGCTCACCTACTCGCTACCTTTTGCTTCCTTAGATTCCACCTAAAAGGCAGCCCTGCTAGTCACTGTGTCTTGGTCGGGATGGAGAGCCGTTGGAATAGCAGCGTCCCTGTGTGTGAACGTGAGTAGAAGGAGAAACACCTTAGACCAATCCCCCCTTGACCTGGTTAGTATTTTGACCTACGGCCACCCATGTGTGGGTCTCCTATTTTTTTAACCTGAATTATTGTGAAATAGCTGCTGACTTTATGAGTATTAACTTGTGATTAATTTGTTGTCATGTACTTTGCTGTGCATCCTGTGTTTTGGGATGCGTTTGCTCTGCCTCTGTCATTTTGAAAAATTCTGTGTTCTATGTGAAATATCCTGCTTTACCTTTAGGTCAGGAGAGATTAAACAATGGGAAGCGCTGACGAGTTTCTGTGTTCCTTCATTTCCTAATTCTTTCTTTTTCATTTTTTCTACCACCAGGATGCAATCCCTGTATGATTTTTCTATTTCTTTTCTAACATATAAGTAGGTAACATTTTTTTACTTTTGATGCATATCACCGCTTTCATTTTGTATTTTAATAGTTCTTTTTTATTGTATTTTTATTACCATTAATCCCTCCTCCTTTCCCCCAGGGCCCTGCAATCACCACACTTGTCCTGGTCCATAAGTTCCCTTTCTTTTTAGCTCCATCCCTCCAGCCCCCGAACCATCTGCCCAAACCTGTCAACCCATTCTCTATCAATGAGTCTGTCTCTACTGAGAAAAAAATTCAGTCATTCCCACAAGTAGTTACTGAGTACGTACTATGTACTTCATGCTCTTCTGAGCTCTGGTGTTAGAACTGTGAGCAAGTGGATTCCCTCTCCCCATGTTATTTATACCCAAGTGTGGAGATGGTCAGGAAATACAATAAACAAACAAATGTTATACGTATGGCAGAGCAGAGAAAGGCCAGAATGCGGGAAAGAGAGGAGCAACGTTACAGAGGGTAAGCACTTTAAGATTCCTCAAGCTCTCAAAATGCATACGTGAATAAATTATGTTGACGGATCAGAAGTAACAGATGACTTAAGAAATGATTCTGCGATGTCAATACCAAGTTCTCCTATTCTGCCCATTTATACACTGCCCATTTGAAGAGAAGATTTTGCGTCACCTTTTGATCTTAAAAATCAGAATACGTATATACATATGTATGTATAAAATATTACTACAATGTGTATTTTGCTACAAATGTACTCAGACATCAAATGTACTTTTTATAATGAAACACATGAGAGTCACTTACACGTAGATGCCTGCTACCTGTAGCACCCAGTGTTTCTTGATGAGACATAACAAGTGGCTGGCCTACTGACGTGTATGAGAGCTCAGGTATTGACTGAACTGTCTTTCTTATTTCTCATGACTCTTAGAATTTGAAGTAGCTTCTTCCAAACCCTAAGCCTGGTTAGAAATGCCAATTAGTACCGAGGAGGGGACTGTTTGACACAGACAAGCATGTACTAGAGAGGAGTAGCTATTTGTGCCTTGCCTAAATACAGAAGAAAATTAAAGCATGAACAGATCCTTACATTGTAACAAACAAAGCATCCTGAATTGCTTAGGATTATCACAATGACCAATGAAGCTTCAGTTTGTTGGGTCAGCACTCTGTCATAATCAAGAGGACAACCAGTATAAGTAAGTAAGCAAGGAAAGGTTCTGTATCTTTAAGGTGAGTAGTACCCATGGATACGTTGTAGAAACGTTTCTCACGAATGTAAGCTCCTTGGAGGACAGTGGCTTTATCTGTGCTGCATCCCAGGGCCCAGATAAGTGCCTGGCACAGAATAAGTGCTCAAGTAATATTTATTAAGTAGTTGAATGAGTAACCCTCCAAAGGGATGATTTTCTTCTACAGATTTTTAATAAAGTTAAAATACTTGTACAGGAGTTTTCTTTTAAAGTTTTGGAACTGAATTGAAGTGTGTAAAGTTTCCCTTATGCAGAAGACTTAACTGTCAAGAAGACTCAAGATAAGCATATTCTTTTTTGTACTCTTTCAATGAAAACTGGGATTGAGATCTTACATCATTTGACTCATCTCATCAAAGGCCTACCCCAAAGACACGCTGTCATAAATGCTTTAGGTAGCAGCAACTCTAACACCCCGTGACTATGGAACGGCTCTGGAGCAAACTCCCCCATGAAACGTAACAGCTTTCGCCTTCTTTCCAGGAATCTTATGTCCAGATCCCCCCGATATCCTTAATGGAAGACACACAGGAAAATCTCTGGAAATCTTTCCTTATGGAAAAGAAGTAACTTACCTGTGTGACCACCACGCAGACAGAGGGGCGACGTTCGATCTCATTGGGGAGAGCACCATCCGCTGCACCAGTGACGGTCACGGGAACGGGATGTGGAGCGGCCCTGCCCCTCGCTGTGGACCTCCAGGTTAGCGCACGCTACCCACATCCTGGATGGGTCCAGAACACCTAAGACAGAATCCCAAAAGCCTGTAATTACAGCATCCTGTTTATTTGTGCAGGGACACAAGTAAATGCTCCATCAGTAATAAATGATTTTGGGATATGTCAGCATATAAGGTTCTGATGACCCTTGCTTCTCCAGAGCTGGGAAACGGAGGGGGATGTGGTGGATGGTGGTTTTCATTCTGACTGGAATTCAAAGGCAAATGTTGTCAAACCATAGGAATTGAAAGCAAATGCTTCAGGACCTTAACGAACATGAGTTATGACATCTACAGGTTTGAGGGCAAGCACAGGCCGGGGGAATACAAAGCCAGGCAAAATCGCTGTTAATTACATTGCAGACAAACAGCATGGAGTCCTTAAGCCAGTTTGGGCTAAGTTGTAAATTAAAATAAAGCCTATTTGCTCCTTTGCCTCCAGTAACTTTAGTCGTTGAATTCTTCTCCCTTCAGTGGAAAAGAAGAGCAAGGGAAGTTGAGCCCTAAGGAAAATGCAAAGTAAAGGGAGTGTGTAGTTCTGAGGTCTGGAGCAGGTTTCCTAAGACACCCTTGTCCCCTTAGACATCCATCTTCAGGAAGTGAAGTCTGTAGGAGAGAGTGAATTGGAGAAAGGACCCTAGTCCTGAGGGTACACACCGACCACTGAGAAAAACGGAGAGAAAAGAACGATCCCGAAAGGAAAAGGACCAAGTGCTAGAGTGTCAGAAGTCATTTTTGCGCTCGCTGTCCTCCCCCTTCACCGTGGCTTCAATTTCAGGGACGCTTATGAGTGCCAACGTAGAAGTCTTTACCAATGTAGAAGTCTAGTCCGTACTGACCGAATCAATAGTGAGAGACAATTGATTCAGTGCTGTGACTTTCTTCTTGTTCAGACCCCTATCTGAGATGGCACCCCCAGTTTACTCATCCAGACTGTTAGGCCGGAGACCATCCAGGCCATCTTCGTGTGTGCTTTGTCTTTAGTGGTGAATTTCAGTCCTGACGGGGATGCTTTGAACTGGAAGCTAGTAGAGCTAATAGTTCAGCTCGAAGATAAAAGTCAAAGACCCATACAGAGAAACAAATATCCCATGGAAAACCTTGAAAATCAGCCAGTTTTTTAAAAATCTTTTTGTTGTTGTTCAAGTACAGTGTTGTGCATTTTTCTCTACATTTCTTATGTAGAGAAAACTTATTAAATAATTTTGAAGAGGTCAGAAATTGGTTTGCAAATCTTCCAGCCGATGAAGCTCTGGGTACAGAATTGGCTGTGGTATAACAATTACTATTTGAATAAATAATTGGAAGGGAGGTAAAGGACAGCTGAAAGAGAAGCTGAAAGAGAAGCTGAAAGAGAAGGTGTTGTCAAAACCAAGTGGAAATGATTTCTATTTTTCCAAGCATATGTGCTTTTGGGGAGTGATATATTTGAATCCAACGTGAGGCCTGAGCTAATAAGCCATAGGGTCATGGAGCTAAAGCTAGAATTTAATTCAATATACACTTCAGATGATGTTTCCTTACGATAATGAGTGCAGGTTCCCTTGTTTGTTTCTTTGCTATTAAGGTGATGCGATCTGTTCCCTCCTGGTGTTGAAGTGGCTTGCTTACAAGCCAGGCCTGCAAGATTGTTGGCAGCTTGCTAGTGTCAAGAAATACCTTGAGTCCTCCATTCATGCTTGTGACCCCAACTCTGTTGCGGTTTGATGCACAGAACATCAAGGAAATTGGACAGGAATGGTGGAACCCAGGCAGGAGAGCTCTTTCCCAGGAAAAAATGGGAGAAGTTGAATCGAAGCTGTCTTGTACAGTAAATTATATGAGCAAAGTGACCAAATGGTGGAACGCCCTTTCAGATAGTATATTTTCTAATGGGCATGTGCTAATGATGGAGCTCCCCACCCGCAAGGTTACACGGAAATTCTCTCTCCGGAACTGAAATTTCTTTGGTCCTGGCATCAAATCTAACGGCATAGAGATATAAAGTCCTTGGGTTTCTCTGTGTTAAGTCTGATATTCTTGATGTCTTGTTTGCTAGGATACTGTAATGACCCAGGCCATTTTCATTTTGCTAAGCTGAAGACCCAAACGAACGGGTCTGAGTTTCCTGTCGGGACATCATTAACGTATGAATGCCTCCCGGGGTACATTCGGAGGTCATTCTCCATCAGATGTCAAGACAACCTGGAGTGGTCAAGTGCCAAGGATGCCTGTAAACGTGAGTACACCCTGCATTGGAGGGTTTTTTCCCTATGTCTGACAAATTATCCGTAGGATCTTATTTAGTTTGTTTAAATTATTGAGATAAAAAACTTTTTTTTTTCTACGTGTCCACATAAGTGGACGTAAGAGGTGGTGTTGTAGGTCATTCCCGATTATTTGTTGAAATGTGCATTTCATGAGACTTTCCAAGAAGTACTTGTGGAGGGGGGGGCGGGGAAGCATTTTACACAGGGAAGAAATGAAAGGAGACATAATTTGCTTGAATAACCAGGTAGGAAGTAAAATTTCATACGAGTATGCTATAAAGCCATGATTACCCTTTACATTTTGATGAGAAATTTGAGGTAGAGATAGGACAGGTCTGGATGAGAGGTCCTTCTAACATGGTGCTTTGTGGGTGGCCTGTTCTGAGGGGACTGGTCAGTCAAAAATCGGGGGAAGCTTCAGAATTGCATGTACTTGTTAGTAAGCTACAGTGAGGTTGGGACCTTTTGCACTGCAAAAGCTCAGAGTACTCTACCTGGCTCCAGAATTCTGTTTCTTCCCATAGGTAAAGTGTGTCCAACTCCTCCAGATCCAATGAATGGCATGGTACACATAGACACAGACACCCACTTTGGATCCAGAATTAACTTTTCCTGTAATACAGGGTGAGTTGGCAGTGACATCTCTGATTCAGATCTGCAGAATGGCCGTACTACCGTTTCGTCACATGGCGGAAAGGAGACGAGACTATAACCGTCTGCTGGTTAAAAGCCTGAACCTAGGTGTTCCATTTCTGATTGAAATGAACAAAGGTGTGATAGGACTCAGGAGGAAATCTGTAACCTTGTTGGAAACCAAGGCAGTGCATAAAAAAAAAAATGAGGTACTCACCAGGGCGAAGGAAGCAAATGCGGGAAGAGCGTAGTAAAACCATAAAAACAGCCCTGCTGAGAGTGGACGTTGCGGGAACAGAGGGAAGGCATTGTGTGAGAGAACGAATCTTAAAAGTAAATGCACTGTTAGTTTGCTAGGGCTGCCACAACAAAACACCAGAGACTGGGGGCTTGGACAACAGGAACTACTTCTCAGGAAGTTTAGGAGTCTGGAAGTTCAGAGTTAAGGGGCTGGCAAACATGATCCCTCCAAAGCCTCACGGGGGGTCGCTCCGTGCCTCTGCCACCTCCTGGTAGTCGCAGTCCTTCCTGGGCACGTGGCTGCCACTTCCCACTTCTGCCTCTGTCTCCCCATGTCTGTCTTCCCATAGCGCCTGTGTCCTCACATAGCATTTCTCCTCTCCGTATGGATCTATGTCAAAATTCTGTCTCTTTAGAAGGATGCCAGTCCTGTGGGTTTAGGACGAACCTAATGGCCTCATATTGACTGGATTACACCTCAAAAACCCTATTCCAACCTAATGGCCTCATATTGACTGGATTACATCTTCAAATACCCTATTCCAAATAAGGTCCTGTTCGTGGGGCTTGGGGTTTTGGACTCTTAACATACCTTTCTGCAGAACACCATTCAGCCCTATAACAGAGCCCCTGTGAAAATGTCAGTCACAAGGTGTGTACTGGGCGGAGGTCCTGCCCTGGGTGCCTGCCTTGCTGCTGAGCACACAGTGGATTCTTGACTGCGCTCTCTGTGTGAGCAGCTGAGCCCATCCGAGAATCTGGGCTAAACGCACGCCGCAGCGGGCACCAAAAAGTCGCTTACGGTCTCCGCCAAACGTACTTGCCACCCTAGGCCGGGAAGACCACAGGACATACAGTCCGACAAAGTAAAATTAGAGCAAGTCTACATACTTCGCTCTTTCTCTGAGCATTTTTCAGTATACTCGGTAAACACCCTGTAGGTGCCCTCTTCGTCTGGCATTACTGAACAAGGCGAGCTTGTCTACGGTATGAAACAGCAAACCACTGAGCGTAGGACAAGTCACGGAAGAAAATGGAGACAGACCAATTAGAAAAGTCAGAGTTTCCTATAACACAGCAGAATTACTTCCAAGAGATAAGGAAAACTTTTAGACAATTATCTGGTTTATGTATTTTTAACCTTAAAATACATCATTTTATTTTTACAACTAACTTTCTACTGCTAATTCATACAACTAAATTTATACAGATAGTTATACAGCTGTATAAAGTTTCCATAACTTTTTAATTTTAATGTTGACACTACTACAATGTCCCCACCCGCCCCCCTTGTGGACCTCCGCCCAGAGCCCGCCCCGCCTTCCCTCTGGCCAGCACCACACCGCAGTCTGCGTCTATGGGTTTCCCATACGTTCTTTGACTTTCCCTTCAAGTTCTTTTATCCAGCCCCCCTCGCACTCCCCGCTGTCAGCTGTCAGTCTGGTCCATGTATCCACGCCTCTCCTTTCTATTTTGTTGGTAAGTTTGTTTTGTTCATTAGACTCCACATATATGTGAGAGTACATGGTGTTTGTCTCTCTCTGATGCCTTAATTTACCTGGCAGGATGATCTCCAAGCCCATCCATGCAATCACAGAAGGTAAGAGTACATTTTTAATGGCCACATAGCTTTCCACTGTGTACATCAAGATACCACAGCTTTTTTATCCACTGGTCTACTGATGGCACTTGAGCTGTTCCCAAATCTTGGCTATTGTAAATAACGCCGCTGTGAACGTAGGAGTACATAGATTCTCTTGAACTGATGTCTTGGAATTCTGACATTATATGTCTACAAGTGGAATCGCTGGGTTAAAAGGCAGTTCCATTTTTAATGTTTTGAGGAAACTCCGTATCATTTTTCACAGTGGCTATGCCACTGTGCATCCCACCAGCAGCGCACCAGGATTCCCTTTTCTCCTCATCCTCGCCAGCCCTTGCTGTTCGTTGGTTTCTTGATGGTGGCCATGAGGGTGGGTGCGGGGTGACACCTCACTGTACCTCAGTTTGCATGTCTCTGGTGATTAGTCACATTCCACATCGTTTCATGTATGTATTGGCCCTCTCTGTGTCTTCTTTGGAGAAGTATCTATTCAGGGCCTTGGCACATTTTTTAATTGGATTGTTTGTCTTCCTGGTGTTAGTTGTATGAATTCATTAAGGATTTTGGAAATCAACACCTTATCCTATGTATCACTGGTGAGTATGGTCTCCCATGTAGTGGGTTCCCTTTTCATTTTCCTGATGGTTTCTTTTGCTGTGAAGAAGCCTTTTAGTTTGATGTAGTCCCATTAGTTTATTTTTTTTTTGTTTCCCTTGTCTTATACGTATCAGCAAACATATCACTATGACACATCTGAGATTTTACGGCCTCTGTTTTCTTCTAGAATTTTTATGCTTTCACAACCAACAGTTAAGTCTTCATCCGTTTTGAGATTTTCCTGTGCGTAGAGCAGGTCTGTGGTCTAGTTCCATTCTTCACACACCCCTGTTTGGTTTTCCCAGCACCAGTTATTGAAGATACTGCGTTTACGCCATTGGATGCTCTGATCTCCTTTGTGAATTATTAGATACCCATATAGGCATGGGTTGATTTCTAGGCTCTCTGTTCTGTTCCATTGATGTATATGTCCGTTCTTATGCCAGTGCCAGGCTGCTTTTATTCCATTGGCCCTGTAGTATAGCTTGATATCATGTATAGTGATACCTCCAGCTTCGCTCTTCTTTGTCAAGGCTGCTGACGCTATTCGAGGTCTGTTTTGGTTCCATATAAGTTTTTGAATACTTGTTCTAGATCTGTGAAATATGCCATTGGCATTTTAATAGGAATGGCATTGAATCTATAGGTGGCTTTGGGAAGTATGGGCGTTTGAATGATGTTAATTTTTCCAATCCACTTCTTTGTAGTTTCCTCAATTTCATTCTTCAGCGTCCTCCCGTTTTCCAAGTAGAGTCTTTTCCTTCTTTGGTTAATGTTATTCCTAGGTACCTTATTTTATTGTTACCTTAGTAAATAGGATTGTTTTCTTACTTTCTCTTTCTGATAGTTCATTCTTTGTGTATAAAAGCCCCACCAAATCCTGAATATTAATTTTATATCCTGCTCCTTCGCCAAATTCATTTATTGGAGCTTTTGCTTTTCAGTGGAGTATTTAGTGTTTTCTATGTACTATATCATGTCATTTGTGAATGACGACAATTTTGCTGCCTCTTTTCCAATTTGGATACCTTTCCATTTTTCTTCGTGTCTAATTGCTGTGGCTCGGACTTCCAGTACTATGTTGTGCAAGAGTGTGGGAAGTGGACATCCCTGGCTTGTTCCCAGACTTCAGGGAAACACTTTCCGCTTGTGTGTATTGTGTATGATGTTGGCCTAAGATTTTTGTTATATGGCCTTTATTATGTTGAGGTAGGATCTCTCTAGCCCCACTTTGCTGAGAGTTTTTCATCCCAAATCAGTGCTACATTCTATCAAGTGCTTTTTCTGAGCCTGTTCGTATGATTGCGTGATTTTGTTACCTTCATTTTGTGTATGTGATGTATCACATTAATCGATTTCTGGATATCATTCCAACCTTGCATCCCCAGATTAAATCCCATTTGATCATCGTGTATGATCTATGTAATGATCATACTGGACGCTGGATGCAGTTTTCTAATATTTTTTTTAGTACTTTAACGTCTATGTTTATCAGGGATATTGGCCTATTATTTACCTTCTTCCTAGAGACTTTATCTGGTTTTGAAATTAGAACAGTACTAACCTAGTAGAGTCAGCTTGGGAGTCTCCCATATTCTTCAGTTTTGGGAATAATTTGAAACAGTGCCTGCTCTTCTTTGATGGTTTCATTAAATTCACCTGTGAAGCCACCTGGACCAAGACTCCCATTTGCTGGGAGCTTTTCTATTGCTGCTTCAATTTCATTAGTTTTTCAGTCTAATCGTATTTTTTGATTCTTCCTGATTTGTAGAAACATTGCTGGCTTCTAGGAATGTATCCATGTCACCCAGGTCATCTAACTTGTTGGCATATAGTTGTTCATGGAAGTTTTTAACAATCCCTTGTATTTTTGTGATGTCAGTGGTTACAGCTCTTCTTTCTTTACTGATTTTATTTATTTGGGTCCTCGCTCTTGTTTTCTCCATGAGTCAGGTTAAAGGGTCAACAGTGTTGTTTATCTTTTCAATAAGCCAGCTCTTAGCTTCATTGATTTATTGTTTTGCTGTATTAGTGTCTACGTCATGTGTTTGTGGTCTGATCTTTATGATTTCCTTCCGTCTACTTGCTCTGGGATTTTTTGCTTGTTTTCTCTGACTTCTTTTCCATGTGGGGTTAGGTTGTTGGAGATTTCTCTTGCTTCTTTAGTAGGCTGTAGTGCTGTGAACTTCCCTCTCAGGACCGCTTTCAGGGTGTCCCATAGATTTGGGGTAGTGACGTGTTCATTTCCATTTGTTTCCAGGTAATGTTTGATATCATCCTTGTTCTCATTGTTAACTCATTCATGGTTTAATAAATGCTATTTAGCCTCCATGTCTTTGAATGTTTCTTGAGTGTTTTTATTGTAGTTGATTTCTCGTTTCAGGCCATTGCATTCTGAGACAGTGCTTGATAGGAGTTCAAACTTTAGAATTTGTTAAGGCTTATTTTGTGTCTCCACATTTGGTCTGTTAGAGAATGACCCAGGTGCGCTTGAGAAGGATGCACATTCTCCTGCTTTGGGATGAAAGGTCCTGTAAATATCAATTTACAG